GAAGTCCACCTCATTGCGGACAATGAGCCGCCCTGGGTGGATGCTGTCGGGCAGGGCCAGGCTGGAGGTCATTTCCCAGGCATCCACAAAGGCCACACGGAGGTCTGCAAAGGCAGCTCGGAGGAGCCGATTCACGTGCAGGGTGAACCAGTCACTGCCATACACGGACTTGTAGCCGGTGTTGGCCAGTTTGATGACCACAAGAGTGCGAGACTCTCGGGCCAGCAGCGCAGCCACAGCTTCCCGGATCCCTGCCAGTCGTCGCACAAAAGTGGATGGAGGGAAGGTGGTGAAGTGGGCGCCCAGCCCGAGCACCACCACAGTGTGGGGGCCCCCGGCCAGGCCCCTCAGCTCCTGGACCACGGAGTGCAGGGAGGCGACTGGTGTGCGGAGGGATCTCAGGGGCCATCTGTGGGCCCGCCAGTGCAGCACTATGTTCCGAGTGGTCTCCACAGCCATCAGGGGCCCTGTCTGATACGTGGTGTGTAGATCCATGGGCTTCAGGGCTGTAGGGAGGACGAGAGAGGAGGCTTAGGGGTTAATATAGGACTGTGTACCATCCTCTTGTACAAATGAAAATGCCAGGCCCCATTTCCCAGGACATAATCATTCTGTCCCTAATGCATGCCCTGCCGCCAAGTTTTCAAGATTGCCAAGGATCTCATTATTGTCCATCCAAACATCTATTCAGTTTGCTTTTATTTCTCTAAGGCATTTGACTTCCCTCTGCTGAGTGACCTCTTCCAAAAACCCTTTTCTTGCCTTCAGTAACACTGCATTACCCCATTTCCCCCCACCATTCTAGTCATTACTTGCTCAATTGTTTCCTTTATATTTTCCTTGCACTGTATAAATGAGGCATTCCCTAAAATTCTATCATTGTCCACTTTTCTTTACTAGCTATCTTTAGGGGAATTCATTCACTTCTACCGCTTCAGTTTTTGTCTAAGAGCTGATGGTTTGCTGAGCTTCAATTCTGAACTTTCAATTTCCCAATCGATACTTTCTCTCTAATGGTCTGCCATGGTTTTGAACACTTTGTAGGTTGCCTTGGCAAATAATCTACCATTTCTGCACAAATCTTCCTCTCTTCATCCTGAACCTCCCCCTACTGTCCCATGCCTGTCAGCAATTATTTTTGGCAACTTTCCAATGTTTTATTGTTTTTTTCTTAGCTTTCCATGGGGAGGCCTTTAGTCATATATGATACCTCTTTGGGTCTTAATCTGAAGTCAAACAATTCACCAAATGCTACTCATTATTAATTTTTAAGGTTCCCTATGTCCAACTCTTGCATCCAACTTTTAGTTCAGTCTCTTAATAACTCTTAGTTACATTCATCTAGCAATATTTTATACGTACAAATTTGCACTCTTCTGGGTATTTTTGTATACTATAGTGGAAAAGAGACTGATGTCCTTGCCCTCATGGAGCCTACTGTCTCTTGGGAGGGAGGGAAGGAAAAAGGGAGGGGGGGAGAGAGAGGGGGANTCATGGAGCCTACTGTCTCTTGGGAGGGAGGGAAGGAAAAAGGGAGGGGGGAGAGAGAGGGAGAGAGAGAGAGAGAGAGAGAGAGAGAAATTGATTTCCTGATGTAGAAGAGAGGTTGGAAATTTTGAGGAACTTTAAGGAGTTAGGTGCTCCTGGAGCAGAATGAATGGCATGAGGCGAGGTTGGAGATACAGGCAAGGTCTGGTCATGTAGTCCCTTATCAGATCATGTCAATGATTTTGATTTTTGTCCCAGGGAAAATTAGAGTCCATTGAAGGTGGGTAACATGATCCAATTTTCATTCTAAAAAGCTCATGCTTGCACCTTTGTGAAAACCTGGGTGCAGGCATGGGTACTAAGAAGTGAAATGGGAAGCCCAGTTTAAAAGACTTTGTGATAGGCTTGGAAATGGTCAAGGATGGAGAGAAGTAAAGATAGATGCCAGAGGATGGGTTTCATATATATACTAATATATATATATAGCTAAATTTTTNGGCATGGGTACTAAGAAGTGAAATGGGAAGCCCAGTTTAAAAGACTTTGTGATAGGCTTGGAAATGGTCAAGGATGGAGAGAAGTAAAGATAGACGCCAGAGGGTGGGTTTCATATATATACTAATATATATATATAGCTAAATTTATATATATATAAATTTATATATATATAGCTAAATTTTTTCAAGTTTTATTGAAGTATAATTAACAAATAGAAATTGCATGTATTTAAGGTGTACAACACGTCATTTTGATATTTGAATACATTGTGAAATGATTACCACAATTCAACTGGCACATTTATGACATTACAGTTACCTTTTTTGTGTGTGTAGTTAGAACACTTAAGATCTACCTTTCTACACATTTCAAATATACAATACAGCATTCTTAATTGACTTCAGTCACCATGTTGTACATTAGCTCTCCAGAACTTACTCATCCTGAATAATTGAAACAGATAAATTTTTGATGTAGACAGGATCAGATAATTAATTGGATGCTAGCATCAAAGAACAGGAAGTATGAATGAGTTCCAGATTTCTGGTTTTAGCAATTGGGAGATAATGGTACTTACTGTTTTAGGAAGTCTGAATTATATTTTAGTGATTGGGGAAGGAGGACAGTGATCTAGAAGTTAGTGCAATATTAAATTTTTGGATGCTTGAGAGGCATCAACATGGAGATATCAAATTGGCATCTGGAGTTCAGAAGAGAGGTCTGAGCAAGAAAGATAAATTTGGAATTCATTATAATTATGCATGGCCATAGGAATGGTCATACATAATTAGAGACATAGGAATGGTCAAAATCATTTAATAAGATTATGACAAGGGAGAAAAGAAGGGGGTCCAAGAATAACTTCAAAGAATTTTATTATTTAGATGATGGGTAGAGGAGGAGGAGACTGAGAAGGAAAGCCCAGAAAAATAAGAGGAAATCAGTTACAAGTAGTGATATGAAAGTCAATAAAATAAAATGTTTCTATTTGAATGAGTTAGATTTCTCATCTATTCAATTAAGAGAAAAATCCAAACCAAATAACATAGGTGTTGAAGCTATGAGGAAATAGGTTCCCTTGTTCATTGTTCTTAGGCATATAAGATGGGGAACTTTGGCAATACCAAATAAATTTACTTTGTATTTATTGTTTGACACATACAACTACTAGGAGTCTATCCTACAGGACTACTTGAACAAATAAATACGATATGATGAGCTTATTCATAGTGGCATTGTTTATAATAGCAAACAATTTTATTATTATTATTATTTTTAAAAATATATCTTTATTGATCTCAGAGAGAGGAAGAGAGAGGGAGAGGGATAGATAGAAACATCAATGATAAGAGAGTCATTGATCGGCTGCAGCCCGCAACCCGGGCATGTGCCCTGACCAGGAATCGAACCCTGATCGCCTGGATCCTAGGTCGACACTCAACCGCTGTAGGTCGATGCTCAACCGCTGACCCACGTCTGGCGGGGCAATAGCAAACAATTTTAAAGGACCAGTTATCTAGAAATAAGGAATGTTCATACAATGAGTCTTATACAGCCAAAAACAGGATGTACTGATGACAAAGAGNAGGAATGTTCATACAATGAGTCTTATACAGCCAAAAACAGGATGTACTGATGATAAAGAGAGATATATTCCAAGTATACTAAGTGGGGGAAAAGGTGCAGAATACATTATGCTGTGTGTTACCTTTTGCTAATGGTACATTGTGATACCACTATATCCTGATGAAGATAACTGAAAAAAGTAATAAAAACAGTTTTAAAAATTATCATGAGAGAAGGAAAGAATAGGAGATGGAAGAGATAGATTAAGGCTAATTCTGAACTGTGGGTATTTGTGAGTAAAGATAGCAGAGATATGAAGCTCTGCTTCTGCCATTATCAATCTTTGGAGATGGTCAATATGAATTTGTCATTTTTAGTCTAGCTATCTATCATCTATAAATCAGATATCTACATCTTCTGTCTGTTAAGTGTCCTAGAAACAATGTTACTTCAATAATAATGAGCACTCACAGTGCCCAGATATTCATTTCTAATTTACCATGAATTGTTAAAGAATAAACAAATTCTAGGTCTGGAGAGGATAGTACATAGTGAATGTGGACTACCTCATGCCAGAAATCAAAGAAGCTTTCTAATGTTGGAAGTATATCAGAAAGGACACAGGAGCCACCTTGGCAGAGATTGTGAAAATTTGAAAATTGGAGAAAATCATGAAAAAAGCAATTGGAGAAAATAATGATTTTATAGTAAAATATTGGCCAAGCACACCAAATCTATAAAAATCCATGTATCTATAATGATACTAAAAAAATAGTCANGAATGTTGGGCCGCATGAAGTTGTTCCCAGAGGCTCCTTATACTATCTTCTTATTTCTGGATGCTTTTTTCTTTTTGCTCTGCTGATTGGGTGTTTTTTGTTTCCTCATGTTCCAAATTGTTGATTTGATTCTTGGTGTCCTCTACTCTACTGTTGATTCCCTGTAAATTACTATTCATTTCAGTTTGTGTAGACTTCCTTTCTGACTGGTTCTTTATTATGTCATTGATGATCTCACCAGTTTCCTTAACAGTCTTACTAAGATCCATGAGCATCCTTATAACCATTATTCTGAACCCTATATCTAGTAGCTTACTTGGCTCCATTTCATTTAGCTGTTCTTTTTATGGAAATTTCTTCTGTTCTTTCATTTGTGACATGCTTCTTTGCCTCCACATTTTGGCTGCTTCCTGGTGTTTGTTTCTATGTATTAGGTAGAGCTGCTATGTTCCTGGAATTGGTAGAGTGGCCTTGTATAATAGGCNTGTATTAGGTAGAGCTGCTATGTCTCCTGGAATTGGTAGAGTGGCCTTGTATAGTAGGTNGGCTGCTTCCTGGTGTTTGTTTCTATGTATTAGGTAGAGCTGCTATGTTCCTGGAATTGGTAGAGTGGCCTTGTATAATAGGCGTCCTGTAGGGCCCAGTGGCTCAGTCTCACCAGTCACCTGAGCTGGGCCTTCTCGGTGTTCCCCTGTGTGTGCTGTGTGCACTGTCCTGTTGTAGTTGAGGCTTGGTTGCTATTGGCATCACTGGGAGGAATTGAGCCCCAGGACAATTGGCTGTGAGGACCAGCTGCAACTACAACCAAAGAGCTTGCTGTGCTGGAGACACCCCTATGGAGCAGGATTTACTTCAGTGGAGCTTTGGTGTTCACCAAGTGTGCCCCTTGAGTGTGTCACCCATGGATGTGGTAGGGTTGTAATACTGTGTGACTGAAGCTGACCACCATGTGCACTGTCTCTTAAGCCTCCTGGGAGGTGAAAAGTCAGCCTTTGCCTGTGCCCTGCCCAAAGCCACCCAGCTTGAGCTACACAGTAATCTGTAGGTGGCTGCTACTTGTGTCGGGATTGGAGGTGTCCAGGAGAGGCCAAGCTATGAGCCAAGGTGAGCTGCCACTAGTGCTGGGCCTGGAGCCACTTATTGAGAGGTATGGAGCATACTGAGATCAGCTGCTG